CACACACACACACACACACACACACACACACACACACACACACAAGCAAACAAACACACACACACACACACACACAAACATAAACACAAACACCACAGCTACTGTTATGACCAGTGGTCATGATCAGACAGGGCAAGGCAAGTCTCAGATCAACTATGAAACCTTGGATACAAGAAATCTGTCTTATGGCACAGGGCACTAATGCTTAACTCCACGTAGCAAATCTAATGAAATAAGACCCAACAAACCTTGAAATACCCAATTGCAATCTGTAATTGTAAAAAAAGTAAATTTTATAGCAGGTAAAAAGGGAAAGGTTTGCAGTTGTAGTGGTGAAAAATTCAGGATGGGTGAAACCAATCATAATTTACCTATTAGTAAGTAATTCTTTGTTTTTGGAGACTGGAAGTAAAGAACTGTAACAGTTGTGGTGTGCTAGACGTTTGTACGCTCCTTGTAAGCTTCTTATAATGTAAATAGAATGTTGATCGTTGACTGTAAAGAAAAGTAGTTCGAAACTGTAACAGCTTGTGATCTGCAAGGAGAATTTCAAGCTCAAGGTTCATGAAAGAACCGTAGCGTAGACGCTAATTTATACATTACAAAGGAACTGTTCTGAGAGAAACTCAAAGCTATGTAAAGTTTTAACAGTGACCTGAGCATTTGCCCAATGTGTATTGCCAAATTGCCAAATATTCTCAAGTTAACTAGCACGAACAGTGTATGAGCCTTTTCTGTTTTTTAATTCAATCAAGTTCATGTGCTGCACTTACATGTATCAATCGACAATTTGTAGTATTACTGCTAAACGAATACAAAATCAAGAACAGGGAGAGAGTGTATTATTATTCTGTGTTAAGTATGGCCAATCTAAATCTAAATCTAGCAAAGCATATAATTCAATGCACTGTTATGGAAACCATCAAATTCTAAAAAAATCATAATTGCTGAATTATTTAATAATAAACTTGAGCATTGAAAGTTACCCCAGTAATACCAGCTGCAGCTTGTGTAGCATTATACAATGATGGTTCAATAAGTTATCATCATTATTTATAACGTTATATGGTCGTATTTCGTAGATCATTGTATTTTGCTGTTACGTCTAGGCGTTCAGGTATGATAAAGCGCCTCCTAGAGTAACTGTAATGTACTGCAGAAGTACAGAATAGTACAGGTACTGCAGGATTGAACGGGGCCTTAGCTCCGCCACTTAATATTATAGTAGAATGTCGACACGTAACATTTGGAAGAAGTTCTTTTGTGTAATAAATGTCAAATTAACTGACTTTCACGTTTGTGTGTATGGTTGTTATAAATTTGTGCATATTTCATTATATATATTTTTTAAGACATTCAATGCAACTTTAGGTCGCAAAACAAAACAAATAATGTTGATGAGAAAATATGAATGATATTGACATTTACTGTCATTTCGTAATACATTTTAGTCATCGTTTTATACTTTGTGTTTGAAATAGCTAAAAAAACAAGCTACATGAGCCGTCTCTTGTTTGGTTATCGCCCATAGCTTGGACCAGCCAAGTATAAATACAAACAATCAACAGTTTTCCGTCAGCGATATCGCATGTTTGCCTCACAAATATAAATATACTAAGTAGTTTATGAGATAGGGTTGATTATTACATTACTGCATTGTTACAATTACCAGAGAATTGAATTTGAAAATCCAGTTGTGCTACACTGACATTGCATTGGATCGGGGGAGGGGGGGGGGGGCTCAATGCTTCTGCTCGGCGTCTTTCGTCCCTTATAAGTCTTTCACATAACACAGACCCATAACGGGTGCGGCAAACTGTTCTCTCCAGCAAACCAATTCCCCTGGCATGCTATCTCTGTATTTGGCCAATTTCTACTCTTTCCAGCCGCCTCCCGAAGCCTGGTAGAGGCTACCATATCCTGAGCTCCAAGGAGTGTCCGTTACCTTCGGTGGCTATACCGAACACCGTTTGGCCGATCGGATAGTGCCTTGCCACACTAGGATCTGCTTGGATAACAATATATTCTTCTCTTGTCTCTTTTTAAAACTATTTTGATGTCAATTTCATCTCACATTTTCCCGCCTCTTTTTTATTTGACATAACACGTGCGTCACCCCTTCCACTTGTTACATAATGATGATAACCGCCGTCCTGTGAGTTATCGATCGTGCCGGCGCAAACTTTCCTGCCTGTACAAGAGGACAGGACTTTTACTCAAACCGTAACAGGACGAGTTCACTGTTTTCTGAACAATGTGGACGTTGGTACTCCTGTTGGCGGCTTCTGACGCTGTCTTGGCCACCGAATCCTTGGGTAAGTCATCTGAAGTTTCTATCCGGCTTCTTTCACCATATGCTGAAAGTTTATGGCAAACACTACTACATTTGTACACACCTTGAGTGTATGGATTCTTCATACAGAGTTTAGAATACCTTTTCCACAGGTTGCCCAATTCCTAAGCAAAAACAAAAACCACTATAGTGTTTCAGGTTGCCCCCATTCCAATGAGTTACTTTCTAAAATTGTGTATATTTATCGTTAACTATTCTACATACTGATAGTAAGTACACAATAACGGATCACTTTTTTCGCAGATGTGCCATCCTAACTAAAATAAAGAGAGAGACAGGAAGTTTGTAATAATTTCTTTCAAGTCTTGCACTGCAAAAAAGAACTGAGATCCGTCATTTTTTATACAATTTCTCTTATACTTTATCTCAACTTTGATACTGAATTGCAATATGTATATCTAACTAATACGCTTGAGCTTTAGTTTTTATGTACTTTTCCCGAGTATTTGTACTGAGCAACCATATACAACTAAGCCAGGTCGGAGTGCAAATATTATTATCGTTCCTTGGGAAGGAAGCCACATGTTGGGGTCATGGGACAAAAAAGCGCAAAGGATTTGAGATCGAGGTGGCACCGGAAAAATCGACACATTTTCTGAAAGGTCGAATCTAAAAACTTTTTTTCGGGCTTTCTTTTTTTCAGTTTTTCTTCATTTGTACATTGGGTTGGCGTAAAAAAAAAAAACAACGAAAAAGAAAGCCCGATAAAAAAGCCCAAAACACGCCAAAAATTAGCCTAAACTCAAACTTCTGCTTGGAGAGTAATATTATCTATGCATGACGTCTTTTGATAGGACGACACAGGGCGGACCCCGACCTGGTTTCCGTTTCCGGTTTGTCATCCGGGGCCTGCTTCGCCGTGCAGTTTCATGTCGCCCACTCAGGGAGCATCATGGGAGCGGGCATTTTTGCCGGAGGTTAGTCTGTTTGTTTGTTTGTTTATTTATTTGCACAAATAAAATCATTAATAAAAAATACAAAACAAAGACATAAAAACAGTGTGCGGGAGTAGTAAAGAAGTAATACAATGTCCTCCTTTAAACTAATTAAAACTTTACAATTAAAACAAATAATAACTAATGATAAATAAAACTGAGGAACACTTAGATATAACAAAACAAATACCAAATATTAGTTATGAAGCCAACAAAATAATAGCTAATGATAAATAAACTAAAGAAAACCTAGATATAACCAAACAATTCTCAGATTTGTTTATAAGCTAGGGCAAAGACATGGAAATAATGTATACTAGAACATTTTGTTTGTCTTTTGGTTTGTGATAAATCAAATAAAACTAGGCCATTTGCTTCAACCAACGCATTATTAATGCGAGTTAGGAAATGCAATTTTAGATATATTCAATTTTAGCCTAATTTATCTGCTTTGTATTGTTTCCTTAGGTTGTGTAAATTTATTTAATATTTTTTTTTATTATTATGTAGTATTACATGTTTTTTAAAGTTAAGTTTTATCAACTTGGGTGCGTTGCCATCATATTCTTGTATTTCGTTTTGAGGCCACACTAAATAATTTTCATAGATGACGTCCTCTAGAAATCCCAAATCGAATGGGAGAGCGCGAAAAAAAGGGCCAAAAAAGTAAGATGCCTAGATTCGAAATATACTAAGGGATGACAAATTGTAGGACACAAATTGGATAAGAGAACACAGTGAAACAACCAACAACTCTTTTATTCGACATAACAACAGCAATAAATCAGTGTAACAGACAAACAGATAAAACAAACAAACAAACAACCTCCCTTATCTCACTGTTACTCTTTGGTCATAGTTACGAGAAGCGGATTTTTTTCTCAGAACAGAACAGACCAAAATCAATGCGCGCGTGGACGTCATCCATAAAGATTACCTAATTTAAAAAAAAA